TGTGAATTTCAACCAATGTAGTTTACCTTTTCCAAAGTTCATTACATTTTGCATTATCCTTCAAATGTAGAATAAAAACTGATGTCTCTCAAATGAAATACATGGGGTTACCAAACAGATGAAAATGTTATTTTGTGCCTCAAAGAGGCCATTCCTTCATCCACAGGCATACACCCAGAAGGTATTTTCCCACTATACCCTCTCAAATATATAGCCCAATTATGCTGTCTAAGCCAACGTCTACATATTCAACTTATGCTACAGAATTATAGCAGACAAAATCCTGCAATGTCAGCAGCAGAGACAGCATCTCCAAATGTTGATGATGCAAGGACATCACCTGTCTTCTATTTCTTCCACTATTTTACTCTGCTCATCACCTCTTTCCTTTTTCCAGCCTTCTTCTAACATTTATTAAATATCTGGCAATAGATAGGCACTATGATGGTCAACAGTGTCTCTCTCTCTCTTTCCCTCCATCTCTCTCTCTCCTTATAGCGGTGAAACTATCCATGCCAAAACATCTGCTAAAGCAACAATTTTCATATTGACAACTACATGGTTGAATGCAATAATGAACAGATGAAGCAATCAACATATTGAGTGTGTGAAACTATTGTTCTCACCCTACTAATGTGTTTTGATTTTATAGTTTTCCATATCTTATTTAATAGTTTTCATTGTCCTCAGTTTTCCTTTAGTTGTACTTCTAATTATTCTATAATCCTCAAGACTGTTATTTCTATATAACAAAAACTTGTCACAAGTTGGTTGACAAGAAATGTTTATTGAATTAATTATGTCAAAAGATTAAATATCCTTCCAATTTACCTACTTCCTACAGGTTACTACAACTTAGTCCCAATCCTCAAACAAGATGTATTAGAAAAAGAGATAAAATGTCATTACATTTATCAACACTTTAAAAGAATTTATCTATACTGCCAAGGAGGAGAGGGGAAGAGAAAGGGTGGATAAAGCAATGGGCTGGAGTGTTTGACAGGTGTTAACTTGGGTGCAATGGAAGATAGTAGTTCACAAGGTGGAAAAAGAAATCCAGGAGCCGACAAAGGGTAAACTATTGGGGGGTTTGATTAGGAGTTTAAGCTGTTGAATACAAAGTCGATCATCTGAAATGTAAACCCCTACCTAATTCACAATGATAAACATGGCCTATTGTGAAGCATATAAACCATTCCCTCTACCACATGCACATCTCTCACTAGTGATCCTTATATCACCTCTAAGAATAACTGTACCATTAAGAATGCTATTCCTCCTTTAGATCTAAGCATAAATGTCAGTTGCTCTCTGTGGTAATTACATAATCTGGTGCCAAGTTGAGACTATTAAGAGTGAAGGGGTGGAGTTTAGCCTGTCAATCAGGTTGCTGCTTGGTGACCTCATTTGGAGGTGCTACAGAGATAAATAGCTCTCTGGAGGCGGGACACATACACTCCCTGTGAGATATTCCTGTTGACAAGCCACATGGAGCTACTCTAGAGGCTGGGAGCTGGAGGAGCCACGTAGAGACCCACAGCAGCACTGAGATGCTTACACCGCCACTGGATCCACAAGACTTTTTGGCCTGTGATCTTCCTGCATTTGGCATCATTGCATGTGCTTCATGAGTCTGAAGAGGATTACATAGATTGGTATCGGACATATGGGCTAATATTGGATGTATGGACTTGATCTGGACTGGGCTGGGATCTTTTCTTAATATACAATTACTCTTTATATAAAGTTCCTTATCACACAAATATGAGTGTCTTTGACTCTCCAAAGACTTTTCTCATTGCACTTCCATTGCACCCTGAAGTAGATACTTCCAACCACGGGCATCCATAGCACCGTATATGTGAGATCTGCACAACGTTTGTGGGGGGAAATGAAATGAAAAGATAATGGAATGTTTTCATGAACTTTCTGACCCCTCCCCTCCTGTCTCAAATTAAAGGACTCATCATACTTTTTTATCATGGCTTGATTCATTAACATTTAATTTTCCCATTAGACCATCAAGTTTTGCTCATCATTTCATCCTTAAAGCCCTGCTGAATCTAAGAGTGTTATAAACGTAAGGGAAGGAAGAGAATGTTCGACTACTGGGGGAGCCAGTTGCTCAGTTCACTGAGGATTCAAAAGGCAATCATAGGGATAGTACTTTTGGAAATACTTCCCTTACAACTGGGATTTCACCAACGCTTTCCTGTGCGTATTGAATTGCTGAAAATAATATCAAAAAGTGTTATTTCCTCCTCCAATTCCTCCAGGAGACGAAGACACAAATCATAGAGTCCAAGGGACTTCAGCCCAAGTGGCTCTTCTTGGTTCTTAGGTCATTGTTTTGGAAGCAGCCCAGCTATCCACACTATACCATCTGCACTCCATCCTGCACATCTCGGACTTCCCCGCTCTCCACCGCACTCAGATTCGGGACACTTCCCTGTGGCGCACTCCCATTGTAGTGGATTATCCTCATGGTAATGAGGGGGAGAGCGTGTGGATCATCCAACGAGTGGGCTGTCCAAGCACTCTCTTTATTGGCTTTGAAAATGCATCGTGTTGTTTTTGATATAAGCTCGTAATTCACCCACTGCTCAGAAAACGGAGACTTCTTCTCTAAGTGGCAGTCCAAATTTGGAAACTGCAGCTGGTTTTAGTGGTGTAGTCACTGCCTGCCAGGTGCCAAAAATAGCACCTATCACATTCTCCAGGGTTTAAAGACAGAGAAGAGAGAGAGGGAGAAGGAGAGAGAGAGAATAAAGTTAAGGCTAAAGGTAGCATGCATGAAACTGCGCTAGTAACACATCTTATTAAACTAACCATAATGAAAAATGTAACGGTAGTCATACAGTAAAACCTGCAAAATTAAAGCCCGGGTAAGGGAGAAACCTGTCAGAGAAGAAATGCTCAAATATTTGACTCAAATATTTGCCACTAATGGAAAACAACAGAAACATTTTAAGACTACACCCTGTCAACGGTGAAGTAGGAAAGCTCTTGAGGGCTGGGAAAATAAGGCAGTCCCATGAAATTCCTGCTCTCACAGGTTCCACTGTATAGCACAAAGAACTAGCATTCAGTTTCAGTAGCCATGAAGAAAATAGGAACTCATGTGACTGCTCTAATATTCTTAAGCGGGAAGCAGGATAGTATTGTTGGCATCTTAGTTTCATCTTACAGTTGAGGAAAATTTTTAAAAATCACAGAGATTACATGACTGACCCAATGCCACCCAGCCGAGTTTGAGCTACAATTCACGCCGTTAGGACCAGAAGACTTCAAATTCTGTGTCTGATTTCCTATTCAACACAGCCTCGCTGCTGATTTATCCAAGTGCTCCTCCCCCTGACATGACTTGGTAGAAAAGGTGCCCCTTTTCTATGACTGGGGACCAGAAGGGGATCATTCGGGCTTCCCCAAATAAAGAAGGAACAAAGACTCAGCTTCTAGCCTTGGGAGTGGATTCATGTTCAAGGCAGAGAGATGTCAAAACCTTACTTGGTCCAACTTCAAGGCAGTTTTGAAATGTTGCCAAAAAAGGTCTTTGGCTAGTCTGTCCCAGTTTCTTCTTTCGGTTGTAATTCACCAAATGCCCTACTCTTCAGCCCCCAGAACTTATATCAATAAAACTGTTAGGGGATGGTTGGCGAGGGGAAAGGGGGAGAAAAGGGGAACCCATCACTAGGTTGGGCATATAGCACCCCCCCACCACCAAAAGGGATGAATAACAGAAATGTGGGTAAAGGGAGACAACAGACAGTGTAAGATATGAAATAATAATAACAATATATAATTGATCAAGGATTCACAAAGGTGGGAGGGGAGTGGAGGGAGGGGAAAAAAGAAGAGCTTATACCAAGGGATCAAGTAAAAACTATTTTGGAAATGATGATGGCAACATATGTACAAATATGCTTGATACAATGGATGTATGGAATTGAGTTGTAAGATGGCCCAATAAAGTGATTTTAAAAAACAAACTTGTGAATAGGGATCACGCTCAATGTTGAAAAATTAAACAATTTCCCCTTTAGCTAAAATAATAATACCGGTAATAATAATAATAATGAAAGGAATCTGAACTTCCACTTAATCTCTCAAACCCCAATAAACCAAACCCATTGCCATCAAGTTGATTCTGACTCATAGCAGCCCTAGATAGAGTCTCTGAGGCTGTAAATCTTAAAGGGAGCAGCTAGTCTTAGCTTTCTGCCATGGAGTAGCCAGTGAGTTTGAACTGCTGACCTTGTGGTTAGCAGTCTAACAATTACCTGAAAGCATGACCTAGGGTCCCCAAAGGGCTTTTATATTACTGCTCCAAACAGGATCTTTTTCCATAGCTAATTTTATAGCTGTGCCCTTCATTCATTTATCCATCCATTTATTTGTTCAATCCATGTGTAATGAGTCCCTAACTGTGTGCAATGTATATGCAAATATTTGTTTAACCTGTTCAAGAGGGAGCTGAGTATTCAAAGGGTCCTCAGTCCCTGGAAATGAACTTGTGATAGTGCCCTGCTGAAGGACTCATGGAGAACAGACGCACGACCCCCGATGCAGAATTCACTAATACAGACCATAGGAACACCTGCCTTGAGTAAAATCAAGCAAACGATAATTATTAAACACAGAGATCTCTGGGATCCAGAATTCTAAGTCAGGAGTGAGACTGGAAATTTTAACAAGTATCATTGGTGGTATTGATTGTATTCAAGTCTGAGAACAATGTCTTGATAATAGAAACCATATTTGTCATTAAAAATGGAAGCTTTTAAATATTGAGGTAGTACACACAGAAGCCTTTTCAGTTGGAAAACAATAAATAACAATCGTCATTGAGCAGGGCACAGGGATCGCTAACCACCCCCATCTGGATACTGCACTATATTGCTCTACGCTGGTCCCCACAGTGCTGAGGTCCAGTTGAAGCCCTGTGGCCTTTTCCTTGCCTTACCCCAAACTCACTCTTCTCCCAGGACACTTTTACTCACTTTCTGAATTTTCCTAATCTGGTCAGAGAGTGTGTCTAACAGACGAGTTTTCAGGAAGTCCATCACCTTGACCACATGGCCATCAATGTAGCAACTGGAATAAAAATAAAATAAGAATCAGATAAAATCTGGAGCAGGGAACGACAAATACACTTCTCCTGCCTGGTATCTCTGTTGCCAGAGGGAACGATCCAGGGTTCCACTTGGGGTATCCTAGACTGAGAAGCTTGGATCTTAGGTATTTTTCAAAGAAATTATATTCTTTTGATCTTCTCCAGTTCCACCTGGAGAAGATATGTGGGCCAATACTGTGATTTTCTTTTTTTTAATAAAAAAATCCCATTGCTTGCTCTGTGGGAATTGATGGAAATTTCACGATACAAATGATACAGTAGGGAAAATCAGCCCCCAACACAGCCAAAACATGGCAAGTCATTGAACACCCCATCCATGCCCTCACCCACCCCCTGACAGTCTCCAGAATCAATCAATCTATCCTAACAACAAATTAAAGCTCAAGAGCCTTCTTCTAAAAATGTAAAAAAGTTTGGCACTCATTGGTGTGATGATGTCTGTTTTTCGTTGGGCAGCTTAAGTAAAATATCAAGTTGTGCTGACACTACATCGTGAACACAATAGGCCAATGTAGCTTTATGGGAAACTCCCTTTGTGGGCTCCTTATGGTGACGAGTAAACAGATTGCCCTAGGGTTCCGTGACCTACATGATTAGCACCCCATTCCATCCTTTCCTCCCTATCTGCACAAAGTTCTGGGTGGATCCTTTTTTTTTTTTTAAATGCTTAAATGCTTCTGACCTCTTGGTGCCTTTTCCAACCCACTGAAGGTTCCTTCCAACTCACAGGGACCTTTTGGGCAGAGGAGGAAAGCTCATAGGGTTTTTGATGCTGTAAATCTCTATGAAAGTAGACTGTCTCACCTTTCTCTCACTGAGCACGGCTGGTGGGCTCCAACCACCCACCTTTTGGCTTGTAGCCCAATGCTCGTCCCAAAGCTCCATAGGAATTGACTCCATAGAAGTGGATTTTAAAGTTTCCCTGGCTGATGGCAGGGGTCTTGGTGGTCGGGTGGTTACATGTTGAGCCTCTAACCTCAAGATTAGCAGTTTCAAACCACCATGGGAGAAAGAGGACGTTTTCTACGCTCATAAATAGTTACAGTCTCAGAAAGCCACAGGGTCAGTTCTGCCCTGTCTTATCAGGTCTCTGTGAGTCAGAATTGACTCAATGGCAGTGAGTTTGGTTTTAATTTTTGGTTGGTGGCAAATGAGAGAGTAGTTCATTTTAATGACACTGGTAGATGTTACAGAACTATAGGATTATGTGAAAATTCTTTTGAAAACACATTTTATTGCATTTATAGTGAAAGTGTTAGGTAGGAAGAAGCAAGGACAAGGGCTGTTCATCCACATGTGTGAAGGCCCCCTACAGGAGGTTGGAGGAGAACCAGGTGAGTCTTAGCCAGCCATAAAGCCTACTGGGCATGCACCAATTCAAGCTCAAGCCAAATGGGCAGTACACCCAGGCAGCCCAAACTAGGCCCAGGTGGGCTTAATCCAGCCAATGGGGTCAACCAATACCTTCAACCATGCCTCCCAGAGAGAGGCCTCAAATACCTGAACCACACGACCACCCCTTCCCTCTTCATCTTTGCCCTTCCACTTGGCCGTGCTGCAGTCCGTCTGGCCTCAGGCGACTACCTGTGGGTGTGCAGTCCTACAAGGTTGACCGTGCTCAGTGGTTGTAAACCCTGAAACTTCTTCTATCCTTTATAAAAACCCACTGGAATCTCAAACCAGGCTTCGACATGAAGTTGTTCTCGTGTTAAGATAAGAACCTAGGTATTTCCCACTCGACAGATCTAACAAAAGTATACACCACATAACAAGTTCCCATCTAACAATTTCACCACAGAATTTTCAGTGGCATTGGACACATTCTTCAATTATGCCAACATTCTCATGATTTCTGTTCTAGTTATTCAACTCTTGTTAATTTAATCTCATGGACCCCCAAATTTCTCATCTGTGCTTTAGAGTAGCTGTTTTCCATTCAATCACATATGGATATTTTTTTTAAAGCGCAGTTCTCGAGGGTGCGTGCTTTAGTTTTTTGGGTCAACCTGCCATTTTATTAAAAGGTAATTTCAAGAGATAGTTTTTGTTCAAGGCCAGGGGTCTCAGGGACTCCTTCAATCACAATGGGTGCAGTAAATGTTGATACTTTGAGGATTTTAAGATGTTCCCCAATTCCCTTCCCCCTTCCTGCACTCTCTATCAGGACCCATCTGTTATGACCCTGATCAAAATGTTTAGCAATGGTAATTAGGCACCATCTAGTTCTTCCAGCCTCAATAGAAAGGAGGCCATGGCTCACAGGGACAATTGGTCCTGTATTCCCATGATTCAATTTGGATTGGTGGATTTTCTTAATTCTTTTTTCCTCTAGACAATGAGAGACTTCTGAGATGATCTTGGACTCCATCGGATGTTTCTCAGGGTTAATTAAGTCTTACAGAGTTCACGAACCTAAACTGCCTGGTGCCGAGTAGGCACTCACCTGCTTTTGGTTCCTTTCCGCTTTCTCTTAATTGTCAGGTCACAAAAATAAATAGGAGATTGATTAATGAAATCCTGTGTGAGTGTAAAATCCCTAAAATCTGAGTTGCTGTGTCAAAAGGTGCATTCAGAGGTCAATGGTCATTTGCTCTAAAGCCTTTGTGCTACCCAGGATTCCAGTGCCATTGTACTAGAGTGTAAACGATGAAGGCTCTTTTGACATGGGTCTGGAGTCAGTTCTTCCACTTGCTGGTCATCATTCTGTCTTCTCAGACCCACAAATAGTCAAGCTCTTATTTCATATTACATAGAGGGGTGGAAATCCAGGAAAAACATTGTCTTAAGCTCTTTAAAGCCTATTCTTGGGTCCACTTTTAACCTAAGAGCTGTATTCAGTCATTCCTACTGGTCCTATGCTATTCTTGTAGGCTCTGAATTGGTTTGGAATGGGAGAGCTCCTGGCAGAGAAATCAGTGGACAAGAACTCGAGTGGAGATAAGAAGTGATCTAGATGACAAGGGGAAAGTGAGACCCAGCACCAAGAACTAGCAAAGCTTTCTAGAGGGTAAGAGAGAGGAACGAGTCCAAGATGTCCATGAACTGATGAGAGAGAGTATCTCTGGAAATATGAACTTTGGTCTCCTAGAATTAAAATCACCCTAAAGAGAGGTGGGAGAAATATGAGGCTTTCTACTCCTGTAAAGAGCGGGTCTCAGAAACCCACAGGGGCAGTTTTACTTCTTATTATAGGGTTGCTATGATTCAGAATGGACTCAATGGTAGTGAGTGATTCGGGGTGTTTAAAGAGTGGAGGTAATTTAACCACAGCACCTTGCTGGTGTAGTGGTTACACTTTGGACTGTGCTTGGCGAAGTCAGAAGTTCAAAACCAGCAGCCTCTCTGTGGGAGAAAGATAGGGCTTTCTACTCTTGCAAAGAGTCGCAGTCTCACAGGGGCAGTTCTACCCTGTTCTATAGGGTCACTATGAGTCATCACTGACTCGATGGCAGTGTTTGGTTCCTTTTTTAATCATTATGATAAAAACCCAAGCCTCTGATCTTGGATACCTTTGGACAAAACAATTAGCTTGTTTCACGTACTCTTTGTATAAGGGAGGCTTCTGAAACAAAACATTCAAGTTAGATAATCTATAGTTATTTGAAGACTCCCTACTGTATGCAAAGTTTTGGTCCTCTGTCAGTGTTGCCTGTGGTAAGGGGCCCCAATTTATCATTTAAACAAAAGCATGAAGGAGAGGGGCTGTGATGACCATTCAAAACCAAAACAAATAAACAAACAAACCCACTGCCATCACATCTACTCCAACTCATAGTGGCCGTACATGGAACTGTAGAGAAGTGCTCCTTAGCATTTATAAGACTTTTGTGGGAGCAGATATGAGGGGTACTCCCCGAAACTGTATGTGATGTGAGGGGGATAATGCATTTGGAGTTCATTCCACCAGGTCAGACTTTCTATTTAGAGGTTCTGAAAATATTGCATAATAGTGTGCGACAAAAAAAGCATGATTTGTGGTAGACGGGGACAGGTGTTGCCACAACAACGCACCTGCTCATGCAGCCATCTCAGGGCACCAGTTTTCAGCAAAAAACGGCATGCCTCTCTTGCCCCATGCACTTTACTCACCTGACCTCACTCAGTGAGACTTCTTTTTGTTTCCGTGAATAAAGAAGGACATGAAAGGACAGCGGTTTGATAACATAGAAGAGGTGAAGAAAACAATGAGGGAGGTGCTGTCAGCCATCCAAACAGATGAGTTTGAAAAAACGTTTCCAAGAATGGAATCGCAGATCTGACAAGTGTATTAAGTGTAACAGAGAGTACTTTGAAGGTGATAAGGTTGTTTTTTTAAAAACAATTTTTAAAAAAAATTCTGTTTGGGGGGGGGTACCTCCCCCTTTCTCATCTTTCTCCCACAGAATGGCTGGTGAGATTGAACCAGTGATTTTGAAGTTAGCAGCCCAATGCTTATCCCACAACGCTACCAGAGCCCACTGGTGACCAGGTAGCAATCATTTGGTAAGTATAAATGACCAAAACTGATGGCAAGGATGGTGATTCCTAACAAAGACTCAGTGAAAAGACGTGGGGCTAGATTCCAGCAGACTGTCCAGGGACCGGGGGTCCTTTCAGCTTTTCTCTTTCTCATCGGGAAGACAAAGGTGATTCTTACCTACCCACCAGTTTCCAAAAGATCTAATTATTTCCATAAGTGGCCATGAGGATTTAGAAAGTCAAATAAATCACAGGGGAAAGGGAGAATTGAGGGAGAAAAGGAATCCAGCAGGGAGGGTAGAAATGAATCAATCAATTGGAGGTGCTCTGGCAACTTCCACGTAAACCCTGGCAAAGTGGTTCTAGAATATCGTAGTCCTCCTCCAAAGCTCCCTGGAAAGGTCGGCATCTCTGAGGATCGCACCACGAGTAGCTGAAGGATTCCAACTAGAAGCTGAGGCCAAGAAAGGTGGTGTAAAAGCACCCTTTCTGGGAACTATGA